GAGAGAGAGAGAGAGAGAGAGAGAGAGAGAGAGAGAGAGAGAGAGAGAGAGACGCGCAGGTGGAGGGCCTTGAACCTGTCCCGGGAGCAAAAGTTAAAAATGGCACCAACTGCTATACTCCATCTCCACTGCTACTGAGAAGTCCCCAAAATCCAAACGGCGCTGCGTTTGGCTAGACGTGCACTCCAGGCAGCCCAGTCAGACCAGCCACCTGAAAACTAAAAAGGCAGTTGTTTACCGATAGCTCGCCGGGCCCCCTCGAAGCTCCAGGAGAGAGCTAGCAGAGCGGGATTGGCCAGACGGGGCCCTTCACAAGAGGCGCGAGCACCCTTGCCTCAGGGCTCAGAGCTTCCTTTCCCTTAGGTGCTCGGAGGCAGACAGACGACGAAGCTCGCTGTCTCCGCGTCAGTGCGACTTTGGAGACCCGCAGCGTCTCCGCGCGCGCACTTTGGCGCCGGCGGCAGCGGCAGCGGCTCGAACGCGCGCGCGCGCGCGCTCGCCTAGCTGACACAAGCGCCCTCAGAGGTCTGATGCTGCCGCTGCTCTCTCGGGCCGCCTAGCTAGGTGATCGAGCTTCGGAGAGGTAAGGTAACTTTCCCAAGGTCACAAAGCTAAAAGCGGCGCAGCCCCGACTGACTGTCCCAACCCCCTGGTCCGGCGCCCCGCGGCCGCTTCCGCACGAGAGGGGCGTGTGCGCTGGGACAGGGAACCGGGTCAGCTACGTGGGGAAAGCAAGTTGCCGAAGGTTCCTAACTTCCAGCTCGCAGCTCCGCGGAACTCAGCCAGAAGCCCCTTTCGCCTCTGGCCCCCAAGCCAACAAGAGCTTTGTGCGGGGCCCCCGAGTGGCCTGATGCAGTCCTGGCCATTGGCAAAGTCCGGTAAGCAGAGCCGGAGAAAGCGCGGGCGCGGGAGAGGGTGCTGCTGCGGTTTGCTCGGGACAAGTGGGCTCCTCGTCCCGCGGGGCCGGCCGGGGCTGCCGGGCCCCAGCCCGGCCACTCTAGCAGCAAACAAGTCCCCCAGCCCCTCGGCCAGCTCGGCCAGTGCCCGCATCCTCAGCCCCCGCTGCCCAGCCCAGCGCCCTGCTCGGCTTACCTCCGCGAAGCTGCTTGCCGGGGAGAGAGAGAGGGGGGGGGGAAGCTCGCCCCCCGGCTGAGGCGCGGACGGAGCGACTGAGCCCCCAGCCCCTTGGCAAGCACTCTGGCGCCGGCGCCGCCACCGCGGCGAGCCTCTAGCTTCAGAGTCCTAGGTTGCACCGGCGGCCTCCCGACCCCAGGGCGCCTGGGAAAAGCCTGCACCGCCCGCCGCGCCGCGGCACCGCACGGTGCAGCGCTTAGCAGCCCCGGCCCGTGCTGGTGGCCGCCCGCAGCTTCAGCGCCTTACTCCAGGGCGGTGGCGATAACAGCCGCCACGCTTGGTTCTCGGCCGCGGCGACCGGGCTCTCAAGCCCCCATCGCCGCCCAGAGAGCCCTGGCGCACAAGCACACGGCGGCAGGCTGGCCTCAGCTGGGAATCCCAGGAAGGACAGACCCCTTTCCCCCCTTTTTTTCCTCTCCCTCCCCCAGTTTTCACGTCTTTATAACCGGCTTAGGGCATTATTAGCACATGTCCTGGCTCGTGGGCGAGTTGGTGGCAAAATCTGAACTGGATACTTACGGAGGGCCCAAGCGGGTGCTGCGCCTTCCTCTCGTCTGGTCCTCCTTGCCAGCAGCAGCCCCGCGCCGATAAGCTGTGGGAGGAGCAGCCGGGCGGAGCGAGTCTCCTCACCGCAGCTCAGCAGCGCACTTCTGCAGCTGTGCCGCCGGGAACATTTTATAGAGGCGACTGGCGTGTGTGGCCCTTTAAAGGCGCTCAAGCTGGTGCAGTCACCGTGGATCTTGTGAAAGCGAAGGGCGGGCCAGGGAACCGAGTCCGTGCGTCCACTCCAGTCTCTCAGCCCTGGGGGCACAACACAGCTACTGGGGTTGGGCTGATGGTTCCAGATTATGGTCACTTCTCACCCAGTGTCCTGGCCCGTACTTATGTTTCTAAAACTGATGGCAGCTCGAACCCGGGACGTGGGCTCTCCCTACCACCCTGCATGGACTTGCCCAATAAATTCCACTTAGTAATTTCACCAAGGCGAGGGAGAGCTGTTAGTGTCTGTTTTCTGACCTAAATCAAAGCGGACGGCAGGACGGGCTTCAGTGGATAGAGAGAAGAGCTGTTTGGCTTAGGGAAAGATCCAGAGGAGGGACTTGCACACAGGACACGGGGTAGGCAAAGCACTGCTCTTAGTTTTTTGCAGGGCGCTCTTTTGATCCGGTTTGCCCCCTTTGAGCTACATTATCTCCTCGTGGAAAGGTTGGAGGATCACTTCCTCCCTAAATTCCCTACATTTTTTGTTCAGGGCCACTTCGAGGGATCGTATGGCAGCGGTGGCTTCCCTCAAGGCCCAGGGTTGGTTTCAAGGCTTTCTGTCCTGTGGTCATCCAGGGCAGAAGGAGGCTGGCAGGATGCGAGGGACACTGAGAAATGCTGTTCTACCGGATCGTGGGGCTAGGCGAAGGCATGCAGCTCACAGAGCTCATGGAAAAGCCAAGAACAGGCAGAAGGTTCGAAAGCCTGCCACAGAGTTCGCAGAGATTCCTCTTCTACGACACCAGGTTATTTTATTATGATTATATAATTATTCACATCTAGCAAGAATAACATTTTGCACTTAGAGCACATCTCCCTTGTGTTGGTACGTCGTCTTACAGATCTTTACTGAAAGAGGTCTGGGGCTTCTCATTTCAAGGCATGTTCCCTGGGGCTAGAAACTCCCACCCCACCCCTTGCAGGAAGGCCACCAAGATTACCCACCTTTAATGAATCCCCTCACTCCCACCCTATCCCCTCCAACCCCCTCCTCTCAAGAATTCAGTTTACACTGTTTGTAAAACATGGTCTTTTGAAAAAGTACGAGGTTAAAGAAACGGGAGGAATGTTGCAGTCGTTTTCACCGTAGCTGTCTTGTGTCTTCTTAACTGACTTTGAAGACCTGAAGATCTCTCTCTCTCTCTCTCTCTCTCTCTCTCTCTCTCTCTCTCTCTCTTTCTCTCTAGGATCCCAAGTGCCCTGAATTTCCTCTTCTAAGAGAGTCCTGTTTGTTGATGAAATGGTCGGCTGACTAACAAAGAGGAGGCGCCAACGGAGGGACAGATCTCAGCCCTTCCTTGACATTTGGAAGAAGCTGGGGTGAGTACCCTGAATAATCAGGGAACCCCCCCCCCCCCCCCCCAGCCCCTTAAGCTGACAAGCTGCCTTCCTTGCAGTGCGCATTTCTTGCTCCTTCCCACTCCGCGCTCCAATTCAAACCCCGGTAACAACCACACTCAACACAACATTGCTACACTTTCTCACGTGGCTCAAATATTGTGGGTCGTGCCTTAGTCTCCTGTTGAGAAAAGTCACAATCTGTCGGGACCCTAAAGGTCTTCTGCGGTAGCAGAGGAGGTGCACCTCCACAGCCTCTTGGTATTTGCCTGGAGTGGGAAAAGTTTTTGTGAAAGCAAGTGGGGAAAAAGGAGTGGATTTAGGCTTTTGAATTACGCTTGTTAAATTGGACCCCTGACCTGCCCCCTCCTCCTCAGTTTGGACTCTAGAGCTGGTTGGCTGCAGGCTCCGGATCCTGGACCTGTGGATCCGCCCTCCATCTATTGGATGGCTCCCAGGCCAATTGTTAGAAAGAGGCGTGTGTTCACCTCCGCTTTCGGAGGGTCTCTGGAGCAGTTGCTCAGCAGCTAGCCCCCCTCCCCCATCCGGACCATGGAAGGGCAGAAAAAGGAGTGCCCTCCTCCACAATTCTATATGCCCAAGCTCCAGAGAGCCCCCCTCCTGCCCCAACCCACTGGTGACTTCCTGTCACCTCCACTGGCCACATCCCAGGGAGTAGGAATGAGTAGGGGCTTTAAGCACTCAGCTTTGAAGCAGAAAAGCCACCCATTTCCTTTTGGGGGAACGGGAGTTGAGGTTAGTGGCAGAGGCTGAGAGGGAGCAAAGAAGCAGTTTGCAAATAAGCCTTGAATCATTGACTTCTCAGCAGGCCCCAGGCTAGTTCCGTAAACTCTTTTCTCCAACTCGGCAACTAGAGCACGCGCTTGTGAAGCTAAGAGAGAAGAGATGCTCACCCAGCAATAATCTTCTAAATGCCAACCATGAGCTGGGCATCGATCCTCCCCTCCCTTCCATCATCTCATTTAACTCCTAGGACAGCCCTGTGAGGTTGGGTTTCCAAAGGGGAAATCACCTCAAAGATGTGTGCAAGTTGACACAGCCAAGAGGAAGGGAGTTTTGACCCTGGTGAAGCTGACTGCAGTCTTTACCTTACACCCTGATGCCTTGGAGGGCAAAAAAGAGTTTCAGGGTTCAGAGTGCAGGTTCAGGGGTCAGTGGCCTGGATTAAATCCCTACCCTGCCATTTGCTAGTTGTGTGGTCTTAGGGTAAGCGATTGTGTTGTGTGTGTGTGTGCTCTGTTTTCCTGCAAATGGATATCATAACAAATTTATATAACCTGTAAGGGTTAAGAAGAAAGCTTCGGCTTGATTGATTGGTGCTGACTGTGTAGTAAAATAGCTAGTACATGCTGGGATTAGTGTTGTAATGTGCCTTCTGTTTCTTTTCCTTTGGCCCCATCCCTGTCTTAGCTCACACACTTCAGGTTCAATAACACTTTCTGACTGAATAATTTAAATATCAGACTGAGAGATGGATGAAAGAGGCCTATAAACTCAGGAAGAAGATTTACTCACTACACCAAAAGCTGCCTGGATTATATGTCAGGAATAAAAATGAGATCAATAAAAGATAATCACAATTTATAGAAAAGTTTAAAAGTACAAATTTAAATTAAAAAAAATATGTGTATGTGTGTGTGCTTTTGTGATTTCATTTGCACCACATGTAGGCAGGAGCCCTTGGAGGCCAGAAGAGGGAGGTGAATCCCCTGGAACTGGAGTTACAGGTGGGTTGTGAGCTGCTATATGGGTGCTGGGAACTGAACCCAGGTCCTCTGCAAGAGCAGTCAGTGCTCTTGACTGCTGAGCCATCTTTTCAGCTCCCCTGTACACACTTTTATTCAAGTAGAGTTAGAAAAGCCACCGTGGTATCATATGCCTGATTCCAGTACTCTGAAGGCTGAGACAGGATCATTAGTTCCTAGCAAATTCCAGGCCAACCTGGGTTACACAGCAAGTTCCAGAACAGATGGGGCTGCACAGAAATATAAAGTATAACAGAAATGTAAGTGTACACACATATGAAGGAGAATTGTTTATAATACAAGCCAACCTTAAAGTTCCAAGGCCAGGGGGTTCCCCTTGGTACCTTAACCACCACCTCCCAAATTTCGAATTTGAAAAACTTTTATTCATGACAAAATATCGAATAAAAAACCGTGGGTACAAAGTTGCATAAATATGATGCCAAGATGGAGCAGAGGGTGCAAAAACTCCAAAATTAATACTTCTATGTTTCCAACCATGTATGCATATGTGAATAAAGCAATGGTCAGAGAAAAAAACCCAAAAGACAGTGCCAGTAAGGGACACAATACTGAATTACTTTTTCTATTTTTCTTCATACTATATAATATGTTACTTTTTATTTATTTGGTGTGTATGTACATGTGTCCCTTATGAACCTGACACAGTGCAAGTGCGGAGGGCAAAGGTAGCTTCACATATCAGTCCTGGAGATGGAGCGCAGGTCATCAGTTTTATTACCTGCTCAATTATCTCATCAACACAATAGCTTCTCTTTTTTTTGGTTTGGTTTTGAGATGTTTTCCTCTGTAACCCTGACTGTCCTGGAGCTCACTGTACAGATCTAGCTGACCTCAAACTCACATTGCCCCTGTCCACCAACTGCTGAGATTAAAAGCATGTGCCACCACAGCCAGCTTATTTTGCATATAAATAAATTTACATTTATAGTTAACATGCTCCCTAAAAGTATATCTTACTTTTTTATTGTTTATTCAAGGCATGATAGTACTCTTTAGCCTAGAAAGGCCTTGACCTTTCAGTCGTTTGGACTCAGCCTCTTAAGTATTTGGGACCTGTTTTTGTTGAAATTATGTGTACTTAGAAAAAATGTTGGGTGCAAATACACCAAAATGTTAACAGTGATTATAACTGAGTAGAGGCATTATGGGTAATATTTTTCTTTTTTTTAATTTTTTTGCAGTGTGATTACATTGTTTTCTCACAATTAGGATAGATTCATAACTTGAAAAGTGCATAATAAGTAGTATTCTACTTGTGGTAAAATTATGAATGCAAATTGAAAAAAATGGGAGGGGAGTATATTGAACTATTAACAGTTTTTATATTAGTTATTAAGGGATTGTGGATAATTTCTTCTCATTTTTTATAATATGGTCTTATTATTTTTATAATTAAAATAAAATTATACCTAAAAATAGCATATACAATATGATCCAACTTTTGTTAAAAATTAATACCTGCATAGAAAAACTAATGGATTATTTTGAAATATGTTTGTCTTTGTGTGGTGGGGTATGAGTAGTTTTTATTCTTTCCTTTATAAATAAATTGTTTCTTCATTTTCCAATTTTTCTACAGCTATCATTTATTATTTTTAACTTTGAAAAATATAAACATTTATAAAGCAGTTTAGTATTTATGGGAAAAGGGTGCCTATCTGGGATTTGCTTTAAAAATATTTCATTTTGGGTCAGAGGAGAGTGGATGGGGCTATAGATTAAATGAGAAAATTGTTGAAGATAGGTACATGAGGCTTTATTATGATGTGTG